AAATGCTAGTTTTATGGCTGATTCGTAATCCTAAAACAGCTGCACTGTCAAAAAAAAAAAATCGAAATCACCAACAACAATCTTCTTACAATACAAATTTTATTCCATTCAGAGGAAATTACATCCAGTGCCCCCAGTTGTCACTGGCTGCTCCTCTTATTTTGCCGAAGTTATCTACTTAAGTAGAGAAAAAAGCAAGAATTTGGCTGGATGCATTTTCGATTTTGATAAAAAATTTGATCAAATTAAGTCGAAGACTATGCAAAAAGACGAAGCAAGTTGGTCAATGAGCCATAAAAATTAGCTAAAAAAATATTCACTTGCAAAATTAAGCTTAATTTCAAAGCTTCAGTACCTTGCTAATTCCGTCGGAAGCAGTGAGTAAATACCCCTCTCTCCTCCTCCCCCCATCCTTCCTAGAAAACCACGTACAACAGGAAAATAAAAAAAAAAACCTGAAAACGTTGTGACAAGTCTACGGCAACACTACGTTGATCGATTTCAAGGAATTTCGTGATAATTGGCGAGTTCTGGCGTGCCGATGATGTTTGTTCGTTTAGTATAAATGCACTGAACACAATTGCTTGTTTCAACAGCGTCAAATATTTTGCGGAATTTTTGCCCACAGATTCGATGCAACCAAATAAAATATCGAGCTAAAAAACAGTGCTGCGGTGAAAGTATGCAAAAAGCGAAGCCAAAAATCTGTCAGGGGACAAGCAACGAAAGTGGCACTCACATGCTGTATGAATGGTACCAGTACGCGTCCTTCTTGGGTCCATCTCAAATCGTCCCCAATTTCAAGAATGCAATGTTCGCGTAGCATATCGATTACTTCAATAACGGCTGATAAAGCTGCACTAATGTACCCGGTCCACTCCACCTTATCCTCCAGCGATCGATCACTTCCAATGATTTCTTCTTCCTCCTCCACAAGCCCATCGAAAAGCTCGTGCACTCGAGAAACCTAAAAAGTGCAGCATTAGCAAAATGAACAGGGAACAAATCCAGAAAAGACAGCGGATCAGCATCGATCAAAAAAAATTTTTTTTTGCAAAATTTTCCAGTTTTTTTCAAATTCCTCAAATCTCCAGGTTTCCTTGAAAATTTGGTCCCAAAACTCTCATTTGAGTCATTGAAAAATTTTTTATCAAAAATTCCTAATTTTATTACCTCACGAAAGAAGTGATCTTTTTGCGTGAGCATTTCGCTATCGATGCTTCCTTTGCGTTTTTCCAGCACTTTCTTTACTGCCATGTCGAACACTGTTGCTGGAGATTTCTGCAAGGAAATTTTGTTGTCACTTTATAGCCAACAGCCAAAACCAACAGTTTCTGGAAAAATTAGCAGCAGTTATGGCAAAATAACACATTGCATGTTATTTTTGCTGCAACCGTCACACTGACGAGCTCCAGTTGCAGCACTGAACAGGAATGTATGCGACTTGATGGACCGAAACATTCCTGTTCAGGTTTTTATTCCGATTTAACTTATTCACATTTTTTTTTAATTCCCTCACTTTCAAACCCTTACTTTTTACATAAACGCACATCATCTGAAAATAAAATTACAATAAAGAAATCGCACCACGAAAAAAGTAATTCAACGGTACCTTGCTCCATTTATAAAAAGCAATCGCAATATGCATTTTTTCGGCCAACTCAACAATCTGTGAACGCGCACTGCGTGTCTCTGAAAGCTGCGTCACAACTCTCCGCTCCAGCTGTAAGCAAAAGTTTATTGCGGGTAAAAACGGCAGATTCATTTTAAGAAATAGTAATAGAATATTAAGAAATAGAAGATAGAATAAGAATAATGGAATAAGAATAGAATAATAAGAATAGGATAAGAATAGAATATGAATAGAATAGAATAAGAACAAGAATAGAGTAAGAATGAGAATAGAATAAGAATAGAAAAAGGATAAGAATGGGATAAGAATGAGGATAGAATAGGAATAAAAATAGAATAGAATAGAATAAGATAGAATAAGAAAAAAAAGAAATAAAATTATGAAATAGAACAGTGATAGACAGAAGCCCAGCCAAACTTAGCCCTATTGGAGCAGGGCTGACGAGAAGGTAGGAGTTGTAAAGTGGTATGCTGCGGCCGTAAATAGTCCGAAGCATACCTTATGAAGTAGTGGACCGTGTTAACCGAAGGAAATTCAGCATTGCTAAATTCCATGTGATTTAAGGCAGGAAGGACAGAATTTGATAGTGAATGGTAGTGGGGAATTTGATAGTGAAAGTCGAGAGGAAATTTGCCACAAAAAAAACTCGGAATACATACTGCTAATAGTTGGCTTGCAAGCAAATTCAAAAAAAAGTCACCGATTTCAGGTCGAGGGATAATTGCTTATAACATATGCTGCTATTCGGGTTAAAAAATTTTTTTGTCTCAGACAAAATGAAATACAGAGGGAATTAAGCCGCTCACTTGCCCATTCAAGCTGCCTACTTACCCTCTACTTTCTCATCCTTCCCATTTCAGAAGCTTTAAAAGTCAACTAGGGCAACAAAATCTACAAAAGAAAGCTGTGCTGGTCATCGACAGAGGAAGAAAAATCACATGGGCAATGGACCAAACGGATAAGAGTTGCACGGAGCGAAAAGAAGATCGTTAGAAGGACTCAAAAACAAAGAAAATAGCAAAAATCAAAAAACAAAGAAAACAGCAAGGTCGTCAGTGCTGACGGAAATCGAAATGTTATGCTTCAGCGAAATAACGTATACAGCAAAAAGATGCATCCTCTTTGCTCAATATGACAAATGAAGGTGTATTTTTGAGGGAAAACAAAAATCATCTTACTTTTTCATCGAGTCCCATATTTTTGATAAAAAGAATGAACATAGCCAAAACTCGTTTCTTTTGCTCTTCCAGGTGCACCTCCAGCAAAAATGAACTTGGTCGAGAAACTTGGCCAGCTTAAAAAGATATATGCTACATAATTGTTCATAAACATTGTTTGATAAAGAAAAAAAAAAAAAAAAACGAAAAAAAAGAAAAAATAAATGTCCAACGCACCGACTAGAGGTACCAAAATGCGTTTTTTGCATAGTTCCCCGCAGATTTTTGTTGCAAACGGAACCGATTTTTCTGGCAAATGTTTCTAGCTAGGATAACTGAGGCTGGTCACAAAGGCTGCCCGAAAGGCTGCCTGAAAAAATCCTCTTAAAATTTCAGTCTTCTAGCTTTTCAGGTTCCCGAGTTAATAACTTGCCCAAAGAAGACTTTGGCGGGCCTGTACTTGAGTACTACGCGGGTAAGAGCACCCATTTTGGAGACAGTGGCCCGTACGCGCATGTAGATTAAGTTCTCAAAGTTTCAGCCCTGTAGTTTGTATAAGTCTCGAGATGAAAAATCGGTAGAGACGCACAGACATACACAGATATATACACACACACACACACACACACACACACACACATACACACACATACACACATCCCTCGTCAATATGCGTTTTCTGCATTGCATAGATGCAAAAAAAAAGCATAAAAACAAAACATACACGTTGATGACAGGCCCATGCTCTTCCAGCGCTCATCATTTGGAATATCATCGACGAGATCAATCGCATACTCTGTACATAACTTTGCAATTCCAGTATGCCGATTCTCCAACAACTCACGCACTGCAGCATCAGCTTCGGCCTATAACAAAATTCCACATCATTACACGCACACAAAAAAGAAATGCCATCCCCGGCAGTGAATATGAGTGTCGCAACATATTCAGCTCTAAAGCAATAATATCACTGGAAACCTTACTGAAGTTGCACTCAAAGATGAATCCAGAGCTGGGAAAGGAGGCGAAGAATCTTTTACTCCTCCCTCGTCCTCTCCTTCTCCCCTCCACCTTCGATCCCCTCGCCCCAACGGCACAGGCATCAGTGTTGCAAAAGCTCAGATCTAAAGTTAAAACTAAAGAAAACCAAAGCCTAAAGTAACTCTAAGTAGCAGTGTTACAACTCCGTTCCTAGTTTTCGCATAGTTCCAGGCTGTAACGGGACTTTCCTTCCCACTTCCCGTCCCC